TCCATAAAATATATTTGAATGTATGAAGGCAGTCAAAATCAATGATAAAATGCCTACGACTGAAGTAGTCATTGTTTACAGTTCATACTTTTTGTTAGCAGTCAGAAAGAAGCTCGTTTAAAACGCCGGCAGCCTATCAAGACCAAAATGACTTGAGAATAGGCTACACGATAACTAGCATTACAATCTTACTCAATGCCGATTAGGGAGTGAGTGTCAATCTTTGGCAAATGTCAGCATGTTGCGTGAATTCTGAGTCGTACTGTAAATTTGGAGCAAGAGTCGCCACCTTTAATCGAATCTACACACACACAATAATGGTCATAATCCTGCTCGTCGGATGCACTCATTTCACAGAGCACTTTGCTGTCACAGCTCCCTGCGCAGTTGGTGTTTTTGTCGTCCGTCCCTTCGTGAGGCATTTCAGACCATTATTGACTCGCTTGGCGACAAACGCGACTGCATACAACCGAGGGTGATCTCTCACATGTCTGTCTCTCGCCTGACTAACGACACGAACAGCAGCTGCATAAAGATTCCCCTTGGCAGCACACCTGATCAAAATCCTGTCTTTCGTTGATGCATCTTCATCAATCGCTAAGGGCACTCGCTCGTCTGGTCCTTCTGGGTTCACTCTCGACCCCTACCATCAGCCGCACAGTAGCTAGTGGTGTAGTCAGATAAGCATTGCCAACGAAGACAAGGGAGACTGAAATGACAGTTTCTGGTTCATTAGCCGTCATCAGACAGTCATTCTGTCTGTTTTATTTCTGACCGACCAGCCGATCACACAAATCTCTGTGTGGTCTATGCCAAAAGACCTCGTAAATCCCTGTCCCGGGAATTCATTTTTGATACGGACCGTGGGTTTCCACCTGCAGAGTAATTTATACCAGCTGTTGATCCGATAATTGTATGGACACTCGGAGGTCGACGGTATCAAACGGGTAGCATACCCAATACCGGCCACCTAGTTTTTTGGTCATCCTCCTGGAGAGGGAGTGTGCGGTGTGCAGTAGAGTAGGTGTAGAGTATATCTGTTTCAGTTCCTGGTTCTGTAATACAACTGCAAACTACGACTGTGCATGAAGCCCTCTCGTCCATTTGTGACGTCGTCCAGCATATCCTACCCCACCATTATTTTAACCTTAGAAGCACGTCCTACTTATGTTTAGTGAGTAGGGCTTTATTTCTTCTTTTTATTATTAGCCCCAGCAAGAGGACGAAGCCGCTAGAGTCGCATCGTAAGAGCAAGGCCGGTGGCGTGTCTCCCGGTTCGCAGATCATCTCCAAAACCGATGATGTGCTAGAGGCGGTGCCCGAACTAAAAAACAGCCGCCTTGTTGGCGATCAGTGTAAGCATTTACCAACCTTCCTGTCTTTGTAATAACTTTCACTCCTGCTTGCTGTTGCAGTACTCAGT